GAGAGAGGGAGAGAGGGGGCGAGAGATGGGGCACACAGAAAGAGAGAGAGAGATTATGGAATAGTAATTAGTTACCACCCCTACAGGGTCAAGCAAGGAAAATGACAAGGGCTGATGGAATGCAATAGAAGATTCAAACGTGTGATTGCCTGCACCTATCTGTCATCTAAAATAACTCCTATAGAGCAAAAAGTGGGTCTCCCATGACGCTCCCTCAAGACCGCAAGACGTTTGGGACAAGGAAACTGTGGGCCGTACGTCATCTTGGCTGGATGCACCTTTGTGGTTGGCACAGCATCGGTTGGCCCATAGTTTCACTTTTCTGTGTGTGTGTGTGTGTGTGTGTGTGTGTGTGTGTGTGTGTGTGTGTGTGTGTGTGTGTCGTCATATTCGCTATACACTCAAAAAAGGCATGACTGTGCCAGACTGTGGTTGTCGTTGTTGGGGGGGTTGTCGCTTTCTTCCTCGATCAGCTGGCACATCCGAGTTGTACTCTAGTTGAAAGACATTCGCTTCTCAAATACAAGTACACAGCACGCCCATGTGAACAAACATCAAGCATGTAAGTGTTAGAAAACAGCCACAGGCTCGAATCCAGCTGTGCACGCCGAAGAAAAACGACCCAGCAGCTGCGCACATTTTCGCCCAGTAGCACTGATCATCTGCAGACCCAGGATTGACGCAATTTTGGTTTTCAAGTTCGCCTGCGCGCGGTTCTCTCGAGGGGTTTAATGTTTCTCAGGAGAAGAGGGGTCAGAAGGTGAGAGAGGGAGGGAAAAAAGAGCCTCAGCTGAGTGCAATCTCAAATCAAAGACAACAACCCAGGGAAAGAAAACAAAAAAAAACAAAAAAAAACAGCAACGAGACCATTTAGCCCATGCTCATCCTTTTGTTGTTGTTGTTGGGTGGGGGGTTGGGTGGGGGGTAGGGTTACTGCACTCATGCCGACTTACCGTATTGACATTGATCGGCGGGAACATGTTCTGAAACATAATCGTGATGAGTTTCAGATGATCTTCGTTCTGCCCAAAGTTATTCATCACCACCTGCATGACGTCAGACAACACGTCATAAATAGATAGATAGATAGATAGATAGATAGATAATAGATAGATAGATAGATAGATAGATAGATAGATAGGTTTGCAACTTTGCACACAAACACAAGAGGAGCAGGATCCAATTCAATTGGTGCGTTTTTCTCCCACAGCCAGTGGCCTTCAGGTGTGTTAGGTTCATATGGGACTTATATTCTCTACGTGTGCTGGTAAGAAGTGTGTCAGCACTCAATTTTTATTTTATTTTTTCAACTCAACGTAGACACAGCGAAGAGGCTGCTTACTGCCTTCCTTGCCACATCTGGTCTGTGTGTATCCAACGAACTTGATCGCACACAAACACAAGAAGTCAGGAATACACAGACCTACGAGGAGTCCACAAAGTACATTGGTTTGCAAATCTGGGCTCAAAGAGAAGAGGACTAGGACCTGGCGGTGCAGTTTGCGAGCAAGCTACGGACGCAAATTTGGTCGCTCACAAACACAAGAAGTCAACAGGCAGGGTAAGTAGGTGAAGCTGGGGGGGGGGGGGAGAGGGAGGGAGAAGGGGAAACTGTGGCTGTAACACACTTTTAATTTGAAATAGGCAAGAAAAGACAAAGTGGCGTCGGTGTCATGGTGTGAGTTTCAAAATTCAAAATGCGCACGTTTAACAGGGGTCTGAAACTGCGCCAGTCATTACCCCATGTGGCCCCTTTCGCAGATTTAGGGTCGCCTTTTTTGCTCCGTTTAGGGACCTGCTGAAGTTGCCTATTCTGAACGTTGTTGGGTGTGACTCCAACGTACTTGCCCCTTTTCAAAATAAAACTTTTGAAAAGAAAAAAGTGGACTGAGCAAATAGGTTTGCACAACCTTCCTATTAATTAAGGAGAAAGAAACGGAAGACGACAAGCGGCATCTGATGCAGTCTGAGCACTGTGCACGATAATATGACTTCCTGTCACTCGACCGAACGGTCGGCCAATCAACCCCAACCCCAAACATGTCATTCATTCTCACAGAGCGTTTCGCTCTGAATTTATTTTTCATTCTTGCCCCTGGCCTAATGCCCCCCGATTACAATCTACCGAACTCTGCAGCGCACAAGCAGCTGGCAGCTGCCATCTATCTGTCATCTATCTATTTGTTTTCTTTTTTCTCTTCTTTTTTTTTCCCCTTGAAATATCATTCAACTGTATGTGTATCAGAAACTTCAAAGTTAAAACAAAAGTCTTTCTCTTTTTAAAATGCAGGAGAACATTACCTTCTACAGGCGAATAGAACGTAGGGTATTTAATATTTATTGCGGTATTTAGACTGAAAGATACACCAAACACAGATATCATGACCGTACGTTGTATTCGGGGGAAGACAGTAGACCTCTCTATGGATCAGAAGAAACATGCCTTACCCCAGTACTTAAAAATAATCATAATAGAAACGAACATATGTGTACGAAAAATAGCAAGAATGCAATATAATTATTAATAATTAACAATTCAAGAATATACTACAACAAAAATTGCATGTCATTCCGAGGACGTCAAAGAATGTGATAACGTTTTACGTCAGACTTCAACAGGCTCCCAAAAAAAAAAAAAAAAAACTAGGCTACCAGAGTGGCCCGGGGTCACTTGCCCGGCCGGGCTAAAAATATATATATATATATATATATATATATATATATCGTCAAATAGAACTGCCCGGTAAACCGTAGGCAGAGAGGGAGAAGAGGACAACAAAC